GAAAAATGATAATGACAGTAAAATTTTTCATACTAATTACATTCAATAACTTTAAATTTTCTAATACATATTTCTTCTTTTTTAAAAATTATTTAATTAATTTAATATATCATTTGTTTCATGATCATTATAATAATAATATTATATTTAAAATATTAATATTACCAATTGCAATTAAGGCTACAACTGCATGTCTCGTTTCTTTGAAACTTGTTGTAAAAACCATTAATGGGGTTGCTATGCCAGAAAGAATTTCCTCCTTGTAAGCATTAATATATTTGTGATATAAAAACACTTTAATTCACAGACAGAACAGAATAGCTGAAAGAAAGGAATGACAAAACATGCATGGTTGTCAAAGAGAACTTTTATACCGATATATAGATACTTATTACTAATTTATCTCGCACACAGAAACTATAACATATGTATACAACAAGCAGTGTGAAAGGAGAGGATAAAAAGAAAGAGGGTTTTACTTGTAATATTTCCCAATGAAAAAAAAGGACAGGTTGGTGGTGTCCTTTTTGTTTCTGGTGAGACCATGTGGGTTCCTCTGTTCATCCTACCATTGTGGGATCATGCCATCTGTCTGCTTCATAGCCTATATGGCAACTGGCATGGGCAGATTAATATTGCCTCCAGGCATGATAAAACTAACTGCCCTTCATTACTTTATTATTTGACATCACCCACTGTCACATGACCTTCATGCCTTTGTCTAAACTAAATGGGAATAATCACCTTTTGTATCTCTATACCATATTTACAAACTGAACCTGTGTAAATTCCATGGGTATTGATAACTGGTATCACCTTTCATGTGATAAATGGATCTCTCTCATGAGTAGGAAGATTTTATTTTAATCATTTCACCCCAAATAAAGTTATAATGCCACTAAGATGTCAGGGGTTACTGCAAATAGAAGAGAATGACACTTTAGTAAAGAGAAAGAATAATCAGGATAACAGGAAATTGCAATTGTCTTTGCATGTAAGTTGGTGGTGCTCATTTGTGACAGGGAAGAAAGAAGATGGAAGAGAATTTCACAGGGGAGAAAAGAAACTATTTGAATAGATCTTAACTACATCTAGTTATTTCAGCCGTAAAACAATGAGACCTATTTGCCAATCTAGTACTGCACTTAAATTTGTGTGGTCAAGGTACTAGGGAGGAGAGCACATTAAAATAATTACCATGAAAATATATATAAAAAAGACAGAAGGAAGGCCACCTCACACTGGTGGGAAAGGCACTGAAGTCGGGCAAAAAATCCCCCAAATGCACTCCTGGCAAAAGTGCCTAGGTTGACTATTAAGTCTAGTCTTGTTTGCAAAGCAAAATGGTTGTGCATACAAATGAACAGAACAATATAAAGGGTTACAGAAAAGTCATCCGCCTGACAAAGAAGACATTTTTAAAAATGTAAATTCTGATGTTTGGTCATTAGGTCAAATTTTAGGAAGTTGGTTAGGCTGAGAATTTTCAATGTCACTGCAATTAAAGTTATCTGTCTATTTTATATATCACACTTATTTATTTGCATTTAGATATTCTAAATAAATCAATGAAATCTTCATTTATATTCAATATTTCAAAGTATCTTTACTCACAGGCAGATGTTCTTTTCTTTTTTTTTTTTTTAAGATTTCAAAGATTTTCAGCCATGTTATTTCAAGTCACTTGAAAAATAATAGGTACCTAAAAGGTTATTTTATCTCATTCTTGATAATGTTAATTGTAATAGCTGTTTGGTAATGGTAACTAACAGTAATTAGAATGGTCAATAAATGATTCCAAATTAGATTTTAAAGTGATTTCTAATGTAGTAGGTGATTCATGTCAGGAAATACTAGATGTCTTTATGAATTAATCTCCATTAAGAACTTTGATCTAAGAAGAGTTGATATGTGGTGGCCCCAATAAGTATTGAGTTCATTCTAATAGATATCAAACTGTAGTTTTGTACTTTGTGCCACCTCAGAATGTCAAACGATTCAGATGCCTCAATCATCAACCTAAAACATGCACTCAAAGCCACAGAGTACAAAATTGGATCTCAAAGAATGACATAAACAAGGAAGTGAACCCAGCTGAACTTAGGATATGCACATACCAGACAACTAGGTAAGAGGAAGTTATATATAAATGCCTGATCTATGATTGGAGAAAAATCCCTTGCGCACAACCTAGTACATATTGGGATCTCCACAGATCAATTCTTCTTAGATAAAAGGTTCCTGATGGACATTAAAACTGTTTTATACCTCTGGTATTTCTTGATATGAATCCAATGCGACATTACAAAAAACTTCAAAATCTAATTTTTAATCATTTATTGACTATTCTAATTACTGTTAATGTCATTAATAGACAAAAAGGGAAATTAATTTTAATAAAACTTAAAAAATAAAGGGACACCTTTTTGACTATACTTTTTGCTATAACATGTATTTAAATTGTACAGCATTATAAATTAAATTTATTTCTTTTCTTTAATCTCTTAAACAGAAATGCCAAAATATTAATAGAAATAACTGTAAACTGGATGGTTTTTGAGCCTTCCCCATGTGTAGAAATGAATTCAGCAAGATAGTGCAACATAATAGGTAACAAGGTAACTGTATATGGACATGATTTAATAAACTTTAACTGTAGAATAATTGTTGGGTCCTGAAATATGGGGTATTCTAATTCTAAAGTGACAACTACTCTAGCATTTTCATCTGACAACAGTAATAAGAGTATCCCAGGAATATGTAAATTCCAGACAAATGTCAGTACAATAGGGAAAAATGTTGGTCCCTACAAGAAATGCAAGAATATGACTGCCAGCAACTGACAAGGATACTAATCACTCAAGAGGGGGAACGTTGCATCAGGTCATATCCAAATTCAACACTGTGCTATTCAACCCACCAATTAATGCAGTGGACACTACATTCCATGAGGTTTTATAAATAAGCAACAAGAGTACCATTATTGACATCAAGGAATCTGTTACTAAATAACATTGCAGTTAGACTAAGAAAGACTGGTACCATATCATGATTAACCCATTAAAACTCTAAATATCCAATATTAATCATAAAAATCAAAATTTAATATTAATTTTAATTTAATTCTTATTAATTTAAGAAAAATAAAAATAAAACTAGGTATTTATTATAGGTTTTCTAAAAGGAAATCTGGTATTTATTATAGGTTTTCTAAAAGGAAATCTGGTATTTATTATAGGTTTTCTAAAAGGAAATCTGCTATTTATTATAGGTTTCTAAAAAGATCTGGTATTAATCATAGACTTCTAAAAAGATCTGGTATTAATCATAGGTTTCTAAAAAGATCTATTATTAATCATAGGCTTCTAAAAAGATCTATTATTAATCATAGGCTTCTAAAAAGATCTATTATTAATCATAGGCTTCTAAAAAGATCTATTATTAATCATAGGCTTCTAAAAAGATCTATTATTAATCATAGGTTTAAAAAAGATCTATTATTAATCATAGGCTTCTAAAAAGATCTATTATTAATCATAGGCTTCTAAAAAGATCTATTATTAATCATAGGCTTCTAAAAAGATATATTATTAATCATAGGTTTCTAAAAAAATCTGATACTAATCATAGGTTTCTAAAAAAAAATCTGGTATTAATCATAAGCCCCAGAAAAAAAAAAAACTGAATAAATAAATTACCAAACAACAAATAACAAAAGTAAATGTAATAATATTTATCAGCAACAAATAAGTAATCAATAATAAATGAGTAAAACATTAAAAAACAACATAAAGTATATACAAATAATTACATTTGGATCAATAATTATTTCTAATGAACAGCCTCTAGAACAATATGAAACATCACCATTACCATCTGTCCAATAATCTTCAAGATAATACGCTTTACTAGCCATAATGTACCACTGACCACCATATATAGTCAAACCAAAATACATTATGGCTGGAAGATTGAGTTAAAGCATGAATACACTCTGTCTGATATTGAGCAAGTTTACTCATAAATATAGCATATCTTAAAACTATAATTTTTACTATATATATATATATATATATATATATATATATGAGGGCGAGTGAAAGAAAAAGTAATAGAGAAATTCAATATAGAAATCAACATCAGTCATCATGAAAAACAGAACAAAATGGCGTATAACAATCTAATTAATAAATCAATTTATTTGCATGAAGACTGGCTGCCGTTCTCAGTATTTTTATTGAATATTGTTTTTTCTTTAACTGTCTTAATTAAAACAACTTCAAAAAAATTAATTATAATTTTGACCTTACATTCACCAAGCATTATTCAGTTATTGACAGTTTAAAATGATTTAGTAAGATTTTTTTTTTTTCATAAAATTAAATCTTTACTGTCTTTACTACTGAAATTTCCACAAATTTAAAATCTTATTAAAACTAGTATAGTTTTGCTTTCAGTAAAGTGATCTGTCATCAGTTGATGGTTGTCATACAGACTTTCTGCTGTGTATATTTTCCCTTGAGTGCTCCACGACTGTGGCCTTGAGCCAAGCATAGTTAAGCTTATTAAATGTACAATTTATCCATATACTGTAAAAACCATTTGCTCTTCCAAACCAATGTAAGTGAAATTGATCCTTCTTGGGAGATCTGATATTGTAGAATTGGGATTCTTCTTCTGCTATATACCACATACTGTCAGGGCGTAAGGGATCATGGCTCTCCACAGCTTCTTGTGTGGCTATTAGCAGTTTATCATTTGCTAAGCCTGCCCACAACCATTCCGTAATCCATTCACACAAGCACTTTGGGTTGGTGGCTCACTGATTTTCCCAATCTCTATTTTCTTTAATACGCCCTGTGAGGATTAAGTTTTCCAAGCCCAAATTCCTCATTATGTGTCCAAGGAATTTTAGCTGTCTTTTCCTGATTCTGAGTATAAGTGTTCTTTCTGTTGCCATTTTCTTTAAGGCTTAGTTGTTTCTCTATCAACAGAATTTTCAGTTTCCGTATGATCACCAAAGTTAAGCAACATTGAGCCTTGTGAGTACCTATATGGGTGACCACTTGGAAATACCATGTGCTGTAAGCTTGAATGTATAGGTGGTGTAATGGATAACAGCTTGGAATTGTTAATCAGAGAGACAAATTTCAATTCCTGTATATTCACTTAAGTGCAAATACCCTTGGGAAAGGTATGAATCCACCTCTTCTCCCCCCCCTCCAGCTATAGGTTAATTAGTAACACTTTTATCATTATCATTTTGTTATCTCAAAAAAAAAATTCTTACAATCCAAAAATATTTTCTGGCTTTAAATAACCTGCAATGGGTTGATAAGCCATAAAAAAAAATCAATTTTCATGAAATGAACACTGGTATCATGTTAGCGAGAGCAATATAGTTTATTTTGTAGATCTAATTAATTTTTTTGGGGGGGGGATTAAATTATCATACAATTCTGTTTGCTTCTCCATTAGTTAGCATGTGCGTTACACTGTGACATTACCTCAGATAATTGGCCATTTTGTTTTGATTACAAGGAAAGATGGAAGAAAAAATATACCCAAAATACTGTTTATTTTTAGTGGGAAAAAGAAAGCACATGCAATAAGAAAGAAAGAAGGGGAAGAGATGATAACACTTTCATGTATTTAATGTCTGCTTAAGTGAAAAGAAAAATTATGGCAATTTTGAATCTTTTCATTTGTACCCTCTTACTTCTTTTAATAATGACCTGCATTCATAATTATGATTGTTAATTTAATATGTTAAAGTTGTTACACTCAAATAGTTAATGATAAAACGGGGGGGGATCTCCATGGGTATTTTATAGTTGCGGAACTTGCAAGGAGGTTATTCAATCATTAAATTAAGAATTAAACCTATAGAATATAGGGTATTTTCTTTTGTCTGTATTAAATTTGTTTTATATCTTATATTCTTTCAAATGCAGTAATTCCTTTACTATTGTACTAACAAGATCCTGTATCCCATTGCCGCCATATTGTCTATCTAGAATAAAAATATTTTTTACAAAATATTGCTTAAATTTGAAAAATCTAAACATGGTAAAAGAAAAAAATTATCTACCATAACATTTACTTTCCACTTGCTCTTTCTTTAATCAGAACTGTGCAGTAATTTCCAGTGGGGTCTCTTGATGCCATGATGAAGTACAGAGTTACGGCTTTGTGTGTTTTTTTTTTTTTTTTTTTTTTTTTTTTTTTTGGCAATTAATCAAGTGAGGTTTTTTACATGTACTAGATTAGGTGTTGCTATTATACAATTTAGGTTCCTCACCTCTCATACCAAAATATAATCAAAACTAGAACTATTGTATAGTGGAAGAGTGCCAAGAGGATGCTTTCTTAATAACTACAATCTTACTTACTTCAAGCCTAGAGTCAGTTGCTATATATCCTATATATCCTTATTATACACATCTCTTCCTCCCGACTTGCACCTTCTTACAGCACACTCATTTAGTAACACTCTACCTTGAGTAGCTCTTAGGCCTTGTATTAGGTGAACAGTATTAAAAAAAATGTCTACTTGTGTATTTTGAATATGCCTTTTGTGATCAACTGGCTGATAATACAATTTTCTTTTTCTTTATTAATCATCTCACTCCAAGGACATTGAGATTATATATATATATATATATATATATATATATATATATATATATATATATATATATATATATAATAAGTGTGAGAGATTATGAGAAAAGAAAACATTATGAAGGAGAGAGAACAATAAAAGAACAGCAATTAGGAAGACAAGATAACGATTGACATTGCATTTAAATCTTTGAAGATCAAAATTGAATGGAAAGCAAAAAGCTGAAAGAGTTCCACAAGTGAAAAGTGCTAGAGAAGAAACTGTTAATAAAATCACTATTAGTTTCAACCACGGCCGCCAGACTCCAGAATCTCCTGCATCTACTCTGGACATTCTCCTTGTTTAAGTTGGTGAATGCTGCAGTAATATTTGCCTTCATCTTTGATATTACAAAGAGTTTCGTTGGTCTCTTACTTAACTGTGACCCAACACATAATAATCAAGGGGGTTACAGTCTGGGGAATTAGTATGTAAGGGGTATTGTGGTCATAGAAATTGCCTGAAAGCCATAACTAGCTTCTTCTGCTTGTGTGTCAGGGTACAGAGTCCTGTTGCCAGACACAGTCTTCCAGCAGCCACCCTCTTGACCCAGGACAGCACTATCTCTGCAAGGCACTTGGTGTAGGCTGCCATGTTGAATCTGAGGCCCTCACCAACAAATTCAAAAGTTCTTTTCTTATCAGAACAATCAGAGTGTGTTTTCCAAGCTGCTAAACATTTGTAATCACCATTAGATTCATCCAACTCTTTTTGAATCCTCTTCACTATCCTCAGATTGATACTCATACACTCTGAAATGTTTGTATTGGTGCTTCTGACACAAATACCAAGCAGTACAGCATGCTCTTTCCAAATTTCTGGCAGAGTGAATTGAATTGTGCCATGGTGCTCTTTTTCTCACAGATGGTGCCCAACTGACCCTACTATACTATGCAGTCAAGAAAATCAAGAATAAACATGCTAAACATGCATGTACGAAATTGCAAATATAAAGTGGTGACAATTTATCCATCACGCCTATATATATATATATATATATATATATATATATATATATATATATATATAAATTAAATAAGAGTGAGAGAAAATGAAATAAAGAATTGCAACACAAAAATCAACATCAATCAATATGAAAAATCACAAAATTGTGCATAACAATCTAATTAATAAATCAGATTTTGCATGAAGAAAGGTACTCCACTCCAAAAGCTCCTTTGTAAACAAAATCACACAATGATACTTCCCCAGACAATACAATGTTAACCTCAAGTCTAGGGTCAGTTGTTACCATATCATCGCAATATCCTTTTAATCTTCATTACTTACTTCCTTCTCTTACATTCATATTGCACACCTCATTCAGTAACCCTCTACCTTGATTAGCTCTTAAGCCTTGTATTGAGTGGACTTTAGAAAAAAGATAAATATCAAAGACTAGTTTCCATTCTTATTTGGCAATCTTTGAAAAGTGTAACAGCAAAAGTTCTTATTATGCTCAGTTTGTGCCCACTGTGCAAATTTCCCAACAAAAACCTTCCAGCTGTTGTGATTCCAAAAAATACCATATAGTGATAATACTTATTTTTCTCCAGTTGGTACTGTATTGTCATTTTTATTTCTGATCTACACTGCTTATCTTTGAGTTTCAAACAGAGAAGCCAGGGTTATTATTTCAATCACCCCTTCAATTAAATATTCAAATGAAACACTTTGTCCCAGATTGCTTGCTGCTTAAATTAAGGGATGGGATCAAATGTCCTGAATCTATATTATAAAAGAATTGATTCTCTGTCCATCACAAACTGTTTGCATCTGATTTTTACATTTCAAAAGTTTGAAGTCACCCCCAAAATTAGCATGAAATGAGCTTGACAGAAGAGTAAAAAAAAAAAATGAAAAAGACCTCTTAGGGTCATTGAAAAAGGAATGAAATCAATTATCAAATTTGTGCAGCAGTAATAATGCCAAAGGAGGATATTGTGATGAGAACAAAATGTAATCATAAAATGATTTTTTCTTTTTGTCATAATAAAATTTTTAATAAAAATTCATGTTTCACTTTTTTTAACAACATATAATAATTTTCTCTTATCTAAAGTACAAAACAACTACTTTTTGGGCCTATTTAAAAAATTACCAGGTGTCGCCTCAACATTTTGAACTGTAGTGTATGTAATGCATATGTAAATATCTATGTTGTGCCATTGCAATTTATTATAAGAGAAATGAAAAGTTTCTGATGATTAGCTTTTTTGGCTCTGATCAAAAACTGAATGGTAAAGATATTCCTGTCTCACTATTAACTCAAGAAAGTCAGGGTAAGAAGTTACTTTGAATTTAAAAATATAATAATAATAATTGTACTAATAAATCATCATTTACTCCCTCCCCCTTTAAGATCTAGGAGGTATAAAAAGCACCCTGTAATATCTGTCCGTAGACAAGTGCAATAAAGCTTTGGTATAAGTTTATTCACTGGTTCTGTTTTTACTACAATAATGTTGTTTAGAATTGTATTTTGCTTGAAAGTGACTTGTCACCAATATGTTTTGTTAAAAAAATAATTTACATTTATTGATAGCCACCCACCCCACCCCCGCCAACACTGGTAAGCACAGGGAGTTAGGAAAAAACTTCTGATTATCATCTATGAAACTTTGGCCCTGATTGAAATTGAATGAACAGAGATATTCCTCTCTTGCTATTAACACAAGAAAATCAAGACATGAAGTTTGAATTTGAATTTTTAAAAAATAATAATAATAATGTTGAGAAGTTAAAATTTGCTTGTATTATATGAAATCTGTTGTTGGATAGTTGGCAACTAAACCGAGACCCTGATTCCAATTTCTAGCAAGTGAGATTAGTTGTTAGCACCCTTGTAAAAAGTAGAACACTTGACAAGTCAACAGCCAGCTAACTAGAGGTGGTGTTTCAATAAAATCATCATAGAGTAGACAATCTCAATCCCAAGAAAACTCATAGCTTTTAACAATTATGTAAGATAACAGCATGAAAGGATCTGGAATATCAGAACGATAAATCAAGTGGTCAGTTAGACATATGTGAAATTTGGTGGACAAACAATAGAGATTTCTTCAATGACAAATGCAGATTTATATATGCATGTGGAAAGAAAAAGAAGAAGGATTAAACCAAGACATGAAGAAATGTGTTCTGGGATACTATCAACTATCTGAAAGAATTCTTGTCATTAAAAATTGAAAGGAAATACTTTTAGCATATCTATCATAGTTGTATATGCACCAACATCACAAAATATGGAAGGAGAAATTGAAAAGAGACTTGAAGCAACAGAAATCTTGTTCTTGTTCTACAGAAGGCTGCTGAGGACAATGCCATGGATTGAACATGTGAGCAATGACAAATGGCTTGTTTGTGTGATATTGAGTGCAAATTTTATGCTAGCATGATCTGATCATTACTATTATGTAATATCA